ATCATTAGTTCGTCGAGCGAGACTGTGTATTCAACAAAATGGGAATTTATTTGAACACTTATTGTAAAGCTAGTTTTAAGTATATCCAACTGTATGTCTTCTTTTTTAAACAAATTTCAATTTCGTTCGTAGAAAAAATTTATTTCTTTTGTTTTTGCCTATGTTGCAATAGAAATATGTATTTATGTAATATTTACCAATTATTAAATTAGTGTTTTCGTTGCCATGGCTAATTATTCAACAATTCATTTAAATTCGCAGTACATTTCCTATCATGTGACAAATTTTTTAGTTTGATTTTATTCAAAAATGGCACAATTTATCGATATTCAATAAGGGTACCTTTTTTATGTAGAAAACTCTAAACTTTCAAATTCTAAAATTGAGTTTCAAAAATAGAATCACACAAAAATTTTGGGGCTCTGTTACATGCGCTTCCAAACAAAACTGTCTAAAATGGTTTATATTTTTAAATCCAGCATAAAAAACTAGGCCAGAATACCAAATTTTATGTCTTTGTCTCAACACATTTCGGAAATATTAAGGACAAACCATCTTCAGGGGAGCCCCTTTAAAAGACCGTAGCGCCCTTAGGGGACGTTTGTCGACCTATGTTTATATAAACGTTTCTTCCTATTTTAAGCTCTAGAAACCGCTGGTAGAATATTGCACACTTTTTTCGGGACACCCTGTATAGGTTGGGAATCTCTGATAGTGAGAACAAAGGCTTCTCACTCTGAATTCCTGCATGTAGAGTGCTGTCATCATCAAAGCTGTGGATCGGATTGATCGTACAGTAAAGGTATATGTAAGAGGAAAAATGTCGGAACCAAGAAAGATCAATGGGGACATTGTGGCATGAAGAGAAGCCTTCCATTACGACGAACATCTTGGAAGTCAGCTAGCCATCTACAGAGCTGCTTTGAGAGCCCTCAGGTTGAAACTTTGCATAAGAAACGTAAAACGCAGAAATGACCAGAGGCTTTGCTGATGTCGATAGATAAGAGCAGGGTTACTTCCCGCACAGCATATGGATCGCTTTGAATCAACGGCGCTCGGCGTTCACGGCATTTGTCTCAGGTTAGAAATCCACTAACACTGACGAATTCATCAGGATGGTATGGCCCACAGTAAATACTGATCGTGTGGCATTCGCCTCAAAACAGCGGCTTTTCTGATACGTCTATGCTGCATTTGGAGACCATCATATGCCCTGTTAATGGAGAACTAGGCATTAGCATCAGCGCGTTACAGACGGGAGTGCATATTTTCCAGTTCCGTCATAATAAAACTGCTTCCTTGGAATCTAAATGAACAAATTGCCTTGAATAACGGCCGCCGGCCATAAATCTAAATAAGGCTGACATGCAACTCGTGATTATTACACAGAAATTGCGGGCGAAACATGGAAATTCTGATGCTCGATTCCAACGCTCCTCGTTCATTAATGTCAACGCCGATGAATTTAATGGATGATATTTTTCATTACCGCTTCTGCAGCTCGAAAAAGACTAGCTGGAATTCAGTCTTGCATATTATCGAAACGCAAAGTTTGAAGGTAATATGCAAACAAATCTTGATGGGCCAATTGCGAGGTATCATACAAAAATCGTTAGAAATCGATAAGCTTTTAGTCAAAAACCTTCATTTTACGCTAAATTCCTTCCTTAGAGTCTACGAGGGATGCCTTTTAAGTTTTGCATTTAGAAACATAGCAGAAAGCTATTTCAATCACTTGTTAGGGAAATAACAAGTTATTTTTAATAAACTATTTCAATCACTCGTTACTCCTCTAACAAGCTATTCTTAATAAAGTTACTTCAATCACTTGTTACTCCCCTAACAAGTTATTCTTAATAAAGCTATTTCAATCGCTTGTTAGGGAAATAACAAGTTATCTTTAATAAACTATTTGAATCACTTGTTACTCCCCTAGCAAATTATTCTTAATAAAGCTATTTCAATCACTTGTTAGGGAAATAACAAGTTATTCTTAATAAAGCTATTTCAATCACTTGTTAGGGAAATAACAAGTTATTCTTAATAAAGCTATTTTAATCACTTGTTAGGGAAATAACAAGTTATTCTTAATAAACTATTTCAATCACTTGTTACTCTCCTAACAAGTTATTCTTAATAAAGCTATTTCAGTCACTTGTTACTCCCCTAACAAGTTATTCTTAATAAAGCTATTTCAAACACTTGTTACTCTTCTAACAAGTTTTTCTTAATAAAGCTATTTCAATCACTTGTTACTCTCCTAACAAGTTATTCTTGATAAAGCTATTTCAATCACTTGTTAGGGAAATAACAAGTTATTTTTAATAAACTATTTCAATCACTTGTTACTCCTCTAACAAGCTATTCTTAATAAATTTATTTCAATCACTTGTTACTCCCCTAACAAGTTATTCTTAATAAGGCTATTTCAATCACTTGTTAGGGAAATAACAAGTTATTCTTAATAAAGCTAATTTAATCACTAGTTAGGGAAATAACAAGTTATTCTTAATAAAGCTATTTCAATCACTTGTTAGGGAAATAACAAGTTATTCTTAATAAAGCTATTTTAATCACTTGTTAGGGAAATAACAAGAGATTTTTAATAAAAATCATTTCAATTACTTATTAAAATAATACACTCTTTCCAATAATTTTAATTAAAAATTATTTTTATATATAAATAAATTATTTTTTTTTAAAATGATTATTAATCTTTTTAATTTTTATTGTCCTTATTTTTAATTAACTAAAAAATAACTTTTAAAAGGATAATTTTAATAGAATTAAAAATTTAAATTAATTTTATTAATTATCAATGATTAAATCCAAATTTTATTTATTAATAATAAATATATTCTTAAATAAAAAATTAAAAATTATTAATTTAAGTACAAAAAAAATAATTTAATGCTACAGGTAAATAACTTTTCTAAGCTAAATAAATCAACTTATCATAACGAAACCAAGGTGAAGTTCCTAGAACCCAAATTCAAAAAAATGAAATAAAAAATTAAAAAAAAAAAATATTATAGTAAAAATATCCCCCCCTAAAAATTCTTCTATATTCATCTAAAAAAATCATTGCAAATCCCCCTCTTCTATATTCAACATTAAATCCGGACACTAACTCAGATTCGCCTTCAGCAAAATCAAAAGGAGTACGGTTAGTTTCGGCTAAACTTGAAACTAATCATATTATAGATAAGGGTAATAATAAAAAATAAATCAGATCTTAATCTGATATTTCATAAAATCTAATATATTAAGTCTTAAAATTAAATATAAAGCTGATAAAAAAATTAAAGCTAAACTTACTTCATATGAAATTGTTTGGGCTACAGCTCGCAAACTTCCTAGTAAAGCATAATTTGAATTAGAAGCCCAACCTGCCAATATTACAGTATAAACACCTAACCTTGAACTCTCAAAAAAATAATATGGATAAATTAAATCTTAAATTAACAGGAAAAAAGGTATACAAATCCACAAAAACAAAGATAAAAAAAAACGTCAGTACTGAATCTTAAGCTCACTCTTTAGTAAACTTAAATTCAGTTTCACAACAATACCACTGTTCTCACAACAGTGAATTTTTAAGTGTCACCAAGTCATTATAAAACTGGAACTCAACCGAGTACATTTTCACGCCATAATTTATTACAACTTTCAGAGACAATTATCGCAACAAGAATGCCTTGCTGAGTTACTGTCTGTTTTCGGCAACGAAGCGCCACATCAGTCGACAATTTCCCGTTGGTATGAAGAATTTAAACGTGGACCGGTGAGTCTTAGCGACGATTCCAGGGTCGGTGCACCAAAAACGGCAGACACCCAGGAAAACGTCGATACTGTGCGCAAAATCATAATTGAAGATAGACATGTGACATATCGCGAGATTGAGGCGTCCTTGAAGATCTCAAAGACCTCAATCCCAAAAAATTTTACATGAAGAATTAAGAGTAAGAAAATTAGTTTCTTGTTGGATACCCCTAGAGCAGAAAGCAGCCAGGGTTAATTGGTGTCAAAAAACTCTTGACCGTTTCAATTCCGGAAACTCAAAAAATGTGTATAGCATTGTTAGTGGTGATGAATTATGGATTTACAGTTATGAACCAGAAAATAAACGACAGTCGGCTGTTTGGGTGTTCCAAGGTGAAGAAAAGCCAATAAAAGTCATCCGTTCTCAAGGTATTTCGAAAAAGATGGTCGCGACATTTGTGGCAAAAGCGGGTCTCATATTGCAACAATTCCTCTTAATGAGCAAAGAACTGTTCCTGCGGATTGGTATACCACCATTTGTTTGCCAAAAGTTATCACCGAGCTTCGAAAAAGCAATCCCAAAAGAAAAATCGTCCTACACCAAGACAACGCAAGCTCGCACTCAGCCCAAAAAACAAGGCATTATTTAACGGCAGAAAACGTGGAATTATTGGACCATCCTCCATATAGTCCCGATCTAAGTCCTAACGATTTCTTTACTTTCCCGAAAATTAAAAACAGACTGCTTGGTCAAAGGTATCAGCCACCAGAAGAAGCAGTTTACGCATTCAAAAATGCCAGCAGACGAGTGGAATAAGTGCTTCGAAAATTGGTTCGGGCGCATGCAGATGTGTATTAATCTTCGTGGAGAATACTTCCAAGAACAATAAAGTCATTTAAAACTACCTACCGTATTGTTTTATTTCCATATGCAAAACTTAAGACATCCCTCGTATCAACTTAGCGAACAAAAGTAGTAGTTCAAGGATTATACGTAACCCTCCAGAATTAAGGGTTGAAGCTCACGCTAAAAAAAAATTTGAGACCGCAATGTATTTTCTTAAAACCGATTATCTACCACAATAACATTTGTCAGAGCCAAAATCTAATATCGCTGATACTATGATAGATTTTTCGCTCTGTTCCGGAAAAAATGTGTAGAATATACTCATATAATGCTTTCAATTAGTAAGGAGCATTTTATCTGTCACCAAAACGACTCTACTCAAAGTTCTAACCTGTCTGTAGTCGGCTCGGGTCCAATTCGCATCCCAGGAAAGTCTCTTTCCAGCAAATACCTGATGAACGTGGTCTTCCCAGTCGAATACTGACCCACCAGCAATATCAGCGGCTTCGCATCGAAATCGGCGTCGTTTAAAGGAGGCGAGTGGAACTCATGGAACAGGTAGTGCTGCTCCAAGGGAAGCATCTTGTTCTTGTAGATACTCTTCAGGCCGTCTATGACATTGTCGAAGGCTTCGTGTTTCACTTCCGGCACCTTGTTCAACCAGCTGAACATTTCTCTGGAGGCAGAGAGAGAAAGCTTTCGGAAACGGTAGGCGTGTGTTTGACAGTAATTTGACAGATGACTGGCCAACGCCAATGACAGTTGCGCTTTGGGGTTAGAAAGCATGTACAGTATGTTTGGAACTGTACAGGGTGGCCTAATAAAAAACGCAAAATAACAAATTGACAGCGACGTTCAATTTTGCTACTGCTAGACGGCGGTATTGTCGTTGAAGATCAAAATGTCAAAAGTAAATGAGAAAAGAGATTTAATAGAAAAGTAACTTATTTTTCACTGGCGCCTATTATTCATTTCTCTCATGCTGTTGCTTACTGCTTACTAAACACACTCGCTGTTGAGGATGCGCTTTTCCGAAAAATCGTATACATATCGCAAATCTCTTTTCGTCTAACGATAGACGAACGAACTTCCTCTAGACCAGCTAGACCAACTACAGTTCTTCATATTCCACGACCTCTCCTTCATGTCAAGGCCATCGAAAATGTAAAAACATTTTGCAAGCGAGCTTTTATACCTTCTGACCATGACCACCTGTCCAACATCGACAAACTTTCGTTTTGCTTACTCATTCACAGCGATGGGGGTTTAATATCAATATTTGTCGTCACGATTACTTCAGTGAAGATATATCAAACTATCAGTTGATTCTGTTATGTGATTCGCAAAGTTGCCTGGTTATTAATTTGAGCTCATAAAAGGCCAGGTACTAATTTGTATGAAAGCACGCGTATAATATAATATAGTTTCTTCTAAGAATACTTTGTGCAAGCATGATATATCGTATAAAATATTGGTTGCAGGTATGGTATTTGCTAAAAAATCTGCTGTAAGTAATACTGTCATAACGAAATGCATACAGAGAGCATAAATATGCGCCGCTAAAATTACTATATCCCCATAGATCATATTTATCAACAGACACTAAGAAAATGTTGTGCGATACGCTAGTACTTTCACAATTTATATACTGTGCACCTGTATTTAGTCCATGTTTAGATCAAAACAGCCTTAATCGGATTCAACGTGTACAGAACTCGTGCATTCGGTTCATATACTGGATTAAAATGAGCACGTTTCCCACAAATGGAAGGGATTGAGTTGGCTAAGCATGGAGAAAAGATTGCGCTTATATGCTCTCTGGTTATTTCACAACATACTGTATCTCTACCAAAAAGTGTCCTTAATGTTGACACGAGACTTAAGCACCTAATCAATATACCATCTTACAGGACAGTTCTTTTTGAAATGAGCTTCAAATTTACAACTGCTAAATATTATATTTCTCTTCCTTATTATCTTAGATCATGCAATCCACATAAATTTAAGGAACTAGTTTCGGATTACTTCATGACCAATTACATTATTACACCTTCCAAGTTTAATTTAGGTGATCCCCATGTATTTTTTTGTTAGGTTTAGGATATTTTTATACATATATTCTACTACTGTCAACAGTTGAGTGGAAGAATAGCTCTAGCTGAACTCCCCCTTGAGGTTTTCCCAATATCATGATTTTCTTTCTCATGCGTGTGTGTGTGTGTGTGTGTGTAAAATGTACAAATATGATGGGGAATTGAAGCACATTATTATTATTATTATTATTACTATGATATTTAACAAAGTTAGCTACATCTTTGAAGCCACAATAGACGACTGTAAAACTGTATCACAAATTTTGGAATGTTTGTTTTGATTGATCTATCAAGTGAATAGAAGCTCACTCACCCATTGGTATTGGTGATGCCTTCGTCCTTGTCTATATCTTGCCCATCATTGCCCTTAACAATGACTCTCTCATTATCCTTGACACTGTTCTCCATGTTTTGTTCGAGATGCACGGATGCAACTACACCGGCAACGCATGTATTATGCAAACGAATATCGAGACTGGGATTGACGCAAGGCCGCTGGTCGCACCGCCAAATGTCCTGCAGCTGCAGTTGCAATTTAGTCCGAGCTCGTGTTTACTATGTGGTACCTTCTAAGTACGCTTCCTCTTCGGGACGCCATCCGCATTCAAACTAACCTATGGCAATATATGGCAGCTTTCTGGCCTGGCAACTAGTTGCGAAGGAAGGCAAAACAATTCCAAAATGTTAATCTGGCAAAGAACAGAGGACCCGTGGTCATGGAGTCGTGGTGATGGGCCACAAATTTGTACAATCTGCAACATCGATATCGCACAATGTTTCAGCCATTGTCAATTTCTTCTTTACGCAGATTGTTCAAAGATGTATCGTATAGTTGTAAACCTTCAAGACTGCAATTTGATATCTTTAGGCTCAACGGTTATTGTCAGCGAAATCACTCAATACTAAAAATCCTTCTCAATGACCTTCACGAAAAAAATAAATCAATATGCGTATCAGATAGATAATGCGAATATTAATTCTGTGAGCAATATTCGGGACCTATGTATTACACTAGGTGCGAACTGGAGCTTTGATAACCATATTCAAATTGAAAAATTCAAATTCAAAATACATTTATTTACCAAAAAACAAAAACAAAAAAAAAACATCATATTTACCGGAAAATACACACAATATTTTTGGCAAAAAGGACAAATCCTCGATCAAATGACCGTTAACACCCAGCCTTACATAAGTAGGGTGGGTGTGAAAATGCCCTGTGTTACACTAATTTACACATATAATATATACTAAGTGACATATAAATCCGAACACCCAGTTTAAATGGTTTTATTTTAATAAAATTTTGTATAAGTACTTAATGAAGCATAATAAGTAAATGATAAAAATTTCAAAATGATTGCACTGCTTTAAAGCACTTTGACCTTTAATAATGTGTGGAGTCACCCTGATGTGCTACGCATTCTCCAACGCGCCTAGGCATGCTTCTGATCAGGTGGTCAATGTTCTCCTGTGGTATCTCATTTTAGGCAACCACCAACTCCTCTCGAAGTGCTTCTAGAGTCTGAGAAGGACGTTGCAAATTGAGCAATCTCCTACCCATCATATCCCACACGTGCTCAATTGGGGATAAGTCGGGAGATCTTGGTGGCCATGGTAACAATGTGACATCATTATGTTGAAAGAAGTCTATTGTGACTCTTGCAACATGTGGTCGGGCATTATCTTGTTGGAAAGTTGAATCTGCCAGGGTGTCAAGATAGGGTAAAAGATTTGGTTCTAGAACTTCGTGGATATAACGCTGCGCGTTCATGTTACCTCTGATGAAGTTTAAAGGTGACCTGGAACCATAAGCTATAGCACCCCAAACCATAACTTCAACAGTGTGATGAACATGTCTTTCAACAAAAAACTGTGGATTCCTCCTTTCACCACGTCGCCTTCTAACCCTGGCACGACCATCGTGCATGCCTAAACAAAATCGAGACTCGTCACTAAAGACAATACTGTTCCATTCCTGATCCCAGAGTGACCGTTGTCTGCACCACTCAAGGCGATTACGTCGGTGTTCTCGAGTTAAAGGGGGGACCCAGTGTGGCCGGTATGAAAACAAGCCAAAACTTCTCATTCGTCAGTAAACAGTTCGCATGCCAATAGGTCTTCCGTGTTCTGCAAACCATTCATTTGCAATGGACCTGGTAGTGGCGAAACGGTCCCTTAAGGCCAATAATCTTAGGCGGCGATCTTCACGGTCTGTTGTTCTACGGCGGCATCCAGTGCCCCTTGCTCTTTGCGTACGGCCTTCTCGAAGCCATGCCTGACAACACCTAACCACAGTGTCTACACTTCTTTTCACTCTAACTGCAATTGCCCGAAAAGAAAGTCCAGCTTCCCGAAGTCCCACTATACGGCCCCTATCAAACTCACTAAGTTGACGAAATCGTACAGGTCTTCGTACTCTAGGCATCGTAACCGATCGTAAAGGATGTCAAGAACCAAAACCCGCCAACGTTGATTCTTTACTGCGGCTGAAATATTCATTTTTAGAACGTTAGTGAATTAAAAAAAAAACAGTATAAAAACCGGAATGTCCAACTGATAAGGCTGAAAATTTTTTCACTTGTTATTTACAGTAAGATAAATACATTCACCAACTTTTAGTAAAATAAAACCATTTAAACTGGGTGTTCGGATTTATATGTCACTTAGTATATAAACAATATTCTGGAATTTAATGATTTCATTTACTACGAGCATGAACCATTGATATTGCAGAAGAAAAAAAAATGTATTAACTCACTTGAAAAGTCAACGTTCCGACGGGTGATGAAACCATAAATTAAACGAATAATATGCTTAGAAGATGCTCTAGAGAACCTTGCTACGCTGTTATCACTGTAGTATGCGTTCATACAAAGTAGTCTCTCGTTCGCGTCTATTATCTGGAACCCACACTAGTCCACATAAGGAAAATTGAGTCCTGCGAAATTTGGCCTGCAAGGCGAATATCATTGTCCATAATCATGATTATAGCTTAGTAATGGAACGCTTCAAAATTTTACCGCTAGCTAAGAGAAGGGTATTATCTGACATATGCTTCCTTCACAGAATTATGAGCACTTAATTGATTGTATGCACATTTTATGGAAAATCGATATAAATGTACCGCCCAAACTTCGTTATTTAACATCTTCAGAAAAAAAATTGTAGGCGCTACACATGTGTGGTTGGGGGTTGTAACGGGTGGGGGAGAATATATATAATTTTTTGTCGGTCGATCGAGATGATCGCAAACTTGACACGATTTTTTATTTACATTATATCGGTATAGCAAGTTCATCCACTTAATATCCAAAAACACCAAAATAGTGTATTATGTTTTACGTTGGACATCAATATGAAATTATGTTTCCTGGACCAACAAAGAAGATTCTGCAATATGCTTTCAAACAGAATCATCTCAGTCATGGTAACACTACATTATAATACGAGTATAAATATTTATCTATAACGGGTTAATTTTCCGTGAAATCATATAGAAAAAACTAAACGAAATAGCTTTGTTGAAATGAGCATCACAGCCCAGACTATCCAGTACATTCAGTACAGATGCAATTGTTTATTTATTTATTTATTTATTTATTTCCAACAGGTGAAACCCAATTACAGGAAACGCTGAAAAAATAGCAATTAAAGAGACATGGTTCTTGGACTTAAATCTATAGTATCACACATTCTAAATAAGATTGGATGATCTATAACAGTTAATAATCGTTGCACAACTGTCACTGTAAATATCACACGATTCAGTAACACTGTTCATGACGCAGCACATGAAATTAATTGGCGATTTTGTCATAACATTTGTACGGCCAGCTTGACAATAGAATGCCATTTGTTGTCGACTCCCTAGCCTTGGAACGCGGAAACATATTTTTTCAAGTAAATTTTGACAGTCAATTTTGTTGTGAATGAGGCCATACAAAAACGACAAAGCAAATATGTTTCGTCTTGTTGACAGTGAATCCAAATTGAAAGACTCTAATAGGGCACTATGGTCACAACCTCTTTCTGGATAAGAACCTGTGCATTTAAGGTGAAAATACTTTACAGCTTTACGTTGAATGGCCTCAAGGATCACGACAGAATTTTGGTATATAGGAGACCAGATCAGAGTTGCATACTCCAACTTGCTCCTGACAAGAGTAAAAAATAAAGTTATTAATGTATCAACATTGGAGAAACCCTTCCAGTTTCTGATACAGAAACCAAGTAGTCGAGTGGCAGCCGACGAGATATTGAGTATGTGCTCAGTAAACGTTAGCTTGGTATCAAATATGACTCCAAGGTCTCTATAAGAGGTGCATCTGTCTATAACCTGACCATTGATGTTATAATTATCATAAATTAAATAGTTCACTTTTCTTGTATAAGTCATAACTTTACATTTCGAAACATTCAGACTGAGACAGTTTCGTAAACACCATGACGAAATTAGAGCTAAGTCATCTTGCAACATGACGCAATCCTCGACTGTCTTGACTGACGTGCAGATTTTGAGGTCATCAGCGAAAAACAAATGGAAACACTTCAGTTCAAAAGACAAGTCATTAATAAATATTAAAAACAATAATGGACCTAGATTTGAACCTTGAGGTACCCCAGACGTGGCCCGATAGTAACTCGACCTATGACCACCATATTCGACAAATAACCTTCTATCCCTCAAATATGAATTCATGAGCGACAGCATTGCATCAGACATACCCACTGTTTTAAGCTTATCCAGAAGTGCATAATGATCAACTTGATCAAAAGCCTTCTGAATATCTGTGTAGATGACATCAACTTGTCCCTGACCGTCCAGTACTTCAGAAATGTATTGAGTAATTAGAGCCAAGTTGGTGACCGTAGATCTGCCTCTCATAAACCCATGCTGATTAATAGAGACTGCACCCCTGACCGAGCAGTAAACCGTTTCATAAGCGATGATCTCAAACAACTTGCTGAAATTGCACAGGATTGCTATTTGGCGATAGTTGGAAATATCAGAGATATCTCCACTTTTGTGAATAGGACATATTTTAGAGGTCTTCCAGATATTTGGATATGTCTCTGATTTTAGAATTAAGTTGAATATGGAAGCCAGCGGTTTCGCTAGTATATGAATGCAATCTTTAACGAAAAAACTTGGAATACCATCACATCCAGACGTCATTTTGTTCTTTAATCTTTTCGAAGCCCTAATTACGTTTTCTTCACTTATATTTTTTAAAGAAATGATATCGGTAGAATTATTTGTTGGAGGAGATGACCCTAGTACACCAGACGGGATAAAAACTGTTGAAAAGAAGGTAGCAAAACTGTCCACTATATCCTGAGGCGTATCGCAGACATTGCCGTTAAGCGTCATCCTGGGGGGGATTCTAGATTGCTGTTTTTTGATCTGGGCAAATGACCAGAATTTGCTAGGATCATTGACAATGGCATCCTCAGCCGATTGGACGTAAGCGGAGTAGGCAACACTGATCTGGTTCTTAATGAGCTTCCTAAAATTACTGAACTGATCATAAGAAAACTTAGTACCGTCACGTTTCCAGTTCCATCTTGCTATGTCCTTCTTCTTGATATTAAGTATAATTTCACGTGTGAACCATGGGGGATACGAAAACATTTTATTTTTACATTTAGGGACATGGACCTCAAAGATGTTATTGATAACTGAATACAAGGCGGTACAAGCGACATCAACATTAACTGCACTGATCACCTCCATCCAATTAACATCTTGCAAGGCTGTGTACATTTCAGGAAAGTTAGCTTTGCGAAAGTTAAACCGTGGAGAATTAGCAAATGGGAATTTCGTTGGAGATCCGGATGTAATGAATTCCATGATCAGTGCAGGATGATGAACGTCCTCTTTAACAGAAGGTGTATTATCTCTGAGGACTTCTATTTCGATATTTCCTAAAATTAAATCCAGAATTCGACCATTTATATTTGGAATATTATTAAAGTTAGTTAAATCTAAAAACGAAATAAAGTTGCTCATTAATTGAGACTTCTGATCATTAACGTCACTGTTGAATGATGCGACATTAAAGTCACCAGCAACAATTATTTTACAATTACTGAAGGCATTGTTAAATACTTCTAAAGCTTCAAGGTACTGACTAAACATGTCCAAATTAATTGAAGGCGGAATATAAATAGAAAAGATAACAAAATGCTCATGGTTAATAATAAGCCTAATACATACAGTATCAATCGACGGAAAGTTTCGACTCAAAGCACTAGCGTCAATTCTAATTGCATGGAAATCGCGTTTTACGGCTATCAGGACTCCTCCGCCGGAAACTAGGCCAGATCGAATAAAGTCACGATCACACCTGAACACACAGTATTCAGCCGGAAATAATTCACTATCACTCACATTCACAGACAGCCACGTCTCAGTCAAGCAAATTAAATCAAATTCGTAATTGTTGCTGCTAGTCGAGCGATCCCTAATTCAATCGAGGATTACGTAATTAGGAGAATCTGTCCCAACGCTGCTGTCCATTGCCCCTCCCACAGGATGCACTGACATATAGGTTGAATCATTGATACTGTCAGCTCTAATCTAATGTATGTATTTTGTCTTTGCTAAGTTTCACCTGTTTGACATCCATATTGTATCGATATGTTGATGATGTCTGCATTACATACCGAAATCTATACTGGTTGATTCTCCAAGGTGGCTCACCCCTATAACTTTTTTATTACTGAAGATAGAAAAACGCAATATGAGGGTTGCGTATTATAGATGAATTTACATTTTTTGACATATTCACTTGCTTTGACGTACTTCCGGTTTGAGCTGAAACGACTCCAACTTTCGATTTTTAAATGGAATACCCTATACATGTTTACTTATTCCGATCGAAAATGATATTCTAAACTCAACAACGCCTGACTTGTCAATATTTTGCTCCACTTTGAAGACAATCGAGTAGAGTTATAATAATAATGTGCCTTTATTCAACTTTGCATACACAAAACAAAACAAAAAATAATATCTTGAAAATCGCAAAAGTGCAAAATTGAAAAGGTGGAGTGTTACCCTAGGGGTATTTTTTAACTCAACGTTAAATAAAAAATTGTAACTGATCATGAACATATACATATCATACAATAATAAAGATAAATATAAGTATTAATGTTAGTCATAATAACTGTTCTGTAAGGTTTACCTAGTGCCTAAGAGAAAGGAACTAACCATAAGAAAAAAATGTAGTGGAGTGCAGTGGAGTTAATAGTGGCTTTCCTTTCCTCTAACCGAATTTTCTCACTAATAACCTTTCCTCTACCCATTTTGAAAACCTTAACTACCCAAAACTATTTTAAACGTATTCTGACAGCTGTGATTAATAAAAACAATTGTCATGTGTTTTATTTTTCACAGCCACCTATGCGTTATAGACTTGAAATGAAAATAGTTTGATATGCTGTAATTGCAACATGTGTTATTTTTATGCTGCAAATTTGATTAGGGAGTGATAAAGATACTATACAGGGTGTTTCAGTTTATTGTTGCATAACTTTAAGATTCGATAGAACTTTTAAAATTAATGCATAAAGTCTATATAAACATGGGTCGAAAAATGCGTGGCTTCCGAAATACAGGGTGTTTAAATTTACTTTCTAAAATAGTTTTTTTTAAACAATATTTGATGTATAACAGTGAAAATTGGCATACAAGGGTTTTTTGGTACGACAAAACGAACCATGGGCATAGTTTTACTGTAGCCGCTAGAGGGCGCTCTCTACTGTACCTGTAGTGTATTAAAATGACCGAAAATTTTTTCTTAGTGCAATTTTTTGATTTTTGAATAAAAAAACTGATTCTTCGCACTTTTAAACATAAAAAAGCTCTCCTGTGAGTTTTCGTTATACTTAGCCGTTTTTGAGATATTTCGATTTTTAAGGTTCGATGCATTTTTAATTATTTATGG